GTGGTACACGCTTCCGAAATGTTGAAGAAGTGCGAGAATGGGTGGACGAATGGATTGCTTCGAAACAAACATCGTTTTATCGAGATGGTATCGCCCAGTTGCCAGAAAGATGGCAAAAAGTTGTAGAAAGTGATGGAAAATACTTTCATTGAAATAATTTAAATAAATTTTTTACAATAAATGCTTTTTCTCAGTATTTTTTGGGCGGAAACTAAGTTAAGGTCCTAATATTAAAAGACTATTAAAAGACGACAGAAAGAAGTGCAGAGACATCTTTCCATTTCCCCACCAAGTTTCAGAGTGACTTATACTTGCAAATTTACCAGTGACTTCTTTATATCACAACAACACAAATATAAGATATATTTAAAGACCATTGGCCTTATATAGGAGTTCCCGCGAATGCCCATACTTGGATGTGTCGCAATCGACAATATCTCCACAGCTAACAACTAACTTCGGTTCTTATCGTTGACGAAACCACCGTGTGGTCGGTGCAGCAGAGAACGCGGAGAGGAGACTGTATCGTTAGTTCGTTTTAGTCAACCGCAATGATTTATCAGCTGCAGGTACAGCAGAGGCTTTCCAAATAAACCCGCGCGGATACAACTTTCTCCTTTCGCACGCATCCGCAGATCGGGAATCGTTTGAAATGTCTAGCTTCAATATATGCATTGCGAGCACTCGCTTTGTACACACGCGTTCCGCTGTTGATTTCATAAAGTCGCGCCCATTCGCTCGAGCTACTTCCGGGCGTCCGCCGCTAGGTGGCGGCACGCTGCGCAAAACAGCGCGCATGAATGCGACGATGCACCTTGCAGCCGGCGCAGCCCGTAAGCTGCTACGTTCGGTACGCTCCGTGTGACTCGCGCGTCGTTCCGCGTAGTGAGGTTTCCCCTCTGCCCCCGAGAGTGCCGGTGATATTGCGATCGCGTGTCTTTCGGCCCCGTTGCATCGTGACCGGCAGTATATCGTGAGACCGAGGACTTTGGTCGTACGCTCGCGTCTAAATCCGAGTCGGAATCGCGGTGTCTCGCCATCCGCGGCCGCTCCTTCCTCGCGTGTGCACGCGGCAGGCGACGGAAACGGTTCGTGAGCAATAGTCGCGCGTGAAAGAGCGACAGAGAGAGAGAACGCGGGAGGGACGGAGAAGGAGCGAGAGCAGAGAGAGAGAGAGAGAGAGAGAAGGACAGAGGGAGGGAGAGAGGAAGAGAGAGAGAGCGCGTGCGAGACTAGCATCGTGCGGCCGAGTCTCGCGCTCTCTCGTCGGTGATCGTGTCTCGTCTCGTCTCGTCCCGCTCGTCGGGTTTCGGTTTATTGTCGCCGTCGTGGTCGTCGGTCGTTTGCACGTACTCGTCCGCCATACTCGCGCCTATCGGTCGACAAGAGGCGGCGACGGCGGGCAACGGTAATAGTACATACAACCTGTTGTTTTCTCGCGCAGCGCACTCCTCTACGCCGACACGCAGCCGTGCTGAGCGGCGAGCAACGACAGCCGACGTGGTGACGGTCCGACCTAACCTCTCATCCGCCCCGGGAAACGCGCCGTCCCGTCGACGCTAGGAGTTGACGGCAGTATGAACGGGTGAGAATATATTTCAGAGTGTTACCAAGCGGGAGTCTCGTCCTGTCGCGAGACGACCGCCCGGCGAATAAAGGGAGGGAATGTGAAATAATGGTGCGCGCTTGAGGGACAGGGAGGAGGGGAAGTGAGAGTGACAGCTGAATGCACGCATGAACGCATGGGAAAAGGAAAGGGTGTAGCTATGGCGGAATGCTATATCGGTTGGGAAAGGGGAAGTGAGAGAGCGAGTGTGTGTCTGTTAGTGAGTGAGTTGAGAGAATGCGAGACAGAGAGAGAAATAAAGCATCGATTTGCGATTGTCTGTAGAGCGAGAGAGGTTATCAGGCCGCGAAAGCAGGAGAGAAATAGCGATAAGGGGATAGAAGGGAAGAGCGACTGCTTTATCACGTGTTCTCTTCCTCTTCTTCCTCTCTTTCTCCCTTTCTCTTTTTTTCTCTCTCTCTCTCTTTCTCTCTCTCTCTCTATCTTACTTTTCTTTCTTTCCCTCTTTATTGCTGCTGGTAATAGATCTAAGACACATTGCATAACTTTGTATAGCAGTCACTCACATGTCATTTAGGATATCATACTGGAGGAAAGATATTTCTAAAAGTCTGGAACTTCTTGAATTTTTGAAAATTTTTCATGTTAATTGTTTTATCGCGTTATATAATCTGTATATACATATATATACACATAATAAACACAATACACACACACACACACACATATATATATATACATATGTACACGTGCTTCATACACTGAAAGAAAAAGATATCTAATCACGATATCTAATATAGCATATTTACTTAAATCTAAATGTTTTTATTCAAATAGATAGAATAAAGTTGCTTTCAAAACCCAACCCAACCTTAACCTCTTACTGTACGCCACTATAGTGGCTTTATATCTTTCTGAGTGGTACGCCACTATAGTGGCTCATTCTTACTTCTAATAAATTATAATTTAATCATCTAAAACTGTATTCTAATGTACTTGCGTAATGAAAATCATTACTAGGCAGTAGTATCATTACTAAGCAAGTCGCAGTGTTGCATTGTTTTCACGCAGTCTGCGTTGAACTTTACCATACACAGATACAGCTCCGTGGAAAGTCCTGCTGTAGCTAAGAGGTTAAGGTTTTAAGAAAATGTAATTTTCTTACTTGGGTTGCACATTCCAAAACGTTCTTTTTGAGGAAAATTTTACTCAATAGCTATAGTTCACGTTACATATACTATAGAGTATAGAATAAAATTTCCTCAAAAAGGACGTTTTGGAATGCGACCTTGAAAAATAATTTATATACTAATAAATATGAATATTAAATAAATACGTTATTAAATAAATATATTATTATAGTACTCACAAATAAATATCTTTTATTTCTTAGATATTTTATTTCTCTGTCAGTGTATACACACATGCATCTGCACATCATTTATCATAAGGATTTTCGAATTTTTCGAGACCTTCCGTTTCGAATAACGATCGAAAACATTCGAGCAATCGAATCGCCGGGGAATTTCCAAGATGGCGCTTTAAACGCCCGATTTAGTTGTCAACTTTAGTTCTTAACGTATTTTTGCGAAGTGCACGTGCGCAGCTCGGCTGCCTGTGCGCTGCTGCGTGCGCATTTCGAGCGCAGCTACGATAATTGATGCTCCGACTGAATTTTTGCCATCTGAAAGGAGGGAACTCGCCACTGGGAAAATTAATTAACGTCAAAGCTTTTTAATCTTCGCTATCGCACAATCTAATTATTTGATCATTCGCGCGCGTTTGCTTTTTTAGACGTTTGCCGTCACTCTTTGTAGCTCGATTCGAGAGCCACCTCTTTTAACCACTCTCTATCTTTATTCCTAGAACCCTAAACATGACTAAATTTCACTTGAACCAACTTTTTGAACATCACTGTTTTTAAGAACGTGGTGTTTCGTTTTTTTATTATAACTTTTTTCAACTCTATTGAATCGCGAAAACATTAATGGATTTATACTCTTTGATGTTTTTTATACTCTGTACATGATAACGATAGCTTTTGAAAAATTCATGATGAATATATTTTAAAATTATTGTCAAGAAAATATTCTTTGATAACTTTTATTTAAAAGAACGAAAGCATTAATTAAAAAAAAAAAAAACAATTGAATTCCAATCATTTTTTTCCGGAAGGTATGAGCAAATAAAAATGTGCTGGGGATGGAATTTACCCATGTTTAGGGTTCATTTCACTTTTTGATGTTTGATTGAGGGTTGTAGAGTTAATAATACAAAGGGAATATCGATATACATGCCTGAAAGTCGCAGCGGTTCCAATGACTGATTTTTGTACTGACGGTGAACCGCGCGATCGTCGGCGAGTGTCAATATTCGCGAAGATTTCGCGACGATCGTTTTCCTCTCGTCATCGGCAAGCAATTTCCGCGTAGCCGGCAGAACTATTGACAAAGCCGACGTCACCTTCGCGGTATTCTTTCCCGAGGAGAGCAAAGCTGCATATTACGCGGAGAAACATCGCGAAATATGTTTACGTAGACGTCACGCTCGGCTTGCGAGCAGAG